GGATTCAAGCCCAGAAGGTTTTACTCCCAGCTCAGCACTTGGGCTTCAGACACAGAAGACTCAGTCGTGTTTTATTCCAAAAGGGCTGGCCCCACCACGGGTACACTTGAAATAGAATAATTGTCTTGGCTGGTGTGGCTCCGTGGACTGAGTGCCGGCCCGCAAACCAAAGGGTCGCCGGTTCGATTCCCAGTCAGGGCACATGCCTGGCTCATGCACCAGGTTCCCAGTAGGGGGCGCGCAGGAGGCAAGCACACACTGATGTGTTTCTCCCTCTTTCTCCCTTCCCTTCTAAGTAAAATCTTAAAGAGTCATCTTTACACACAGATAAAATTTAGAGTGTTACTTCAAAACAAAGAGCTCAGTTACCTTGAAGAGGGGGTGGGAAGGACCATGCGTCCGTCAGAGGGGACGGCACTCCGGTCACATCTCGAGGCCCCACCTCGCCTTCGGCACAGGCAGCGTGGGAAACAGGAAGCGGGGACTCCCGGGTCCCTTTTCAGGGAAAAAGCTTGGGCCCCGCTAGTGCCGGCATCACCCACACCTGTCCCCACCCACGCGGTGCTCACCCTCTGCGTACGCCAGGGGTGTCACACACATTGTCACCGGGGGCCACATCAGCCTCTCGGTTGCCCTCAAAGGGCCGAATGTCACTTTAGGACGGTATAAACGTAACGACTCCGGAGCAGTGAAGCGAGAGCTCAGTGTTGCCACCGGGGAGAAACCAGGCACCGGGCGGATAAAACAAGGCGGAGGGCCAGGTCCAGCCCTCGGGCCTCATGTTTTGGAGCCACCTGAGCTCTACTCGGCTGACGTCACAACCCCGGTTGCCCGTCGTCCTCGGTCTCACACCACGTCTACAACGGGAGCGTCTGACTCCCAAGAAGCTGCTAAGCCGACCTCGTTGGGCACCCACCGGCCCCGGGGTCAGGCAGACCTTGTGCACCATTAACCCGATTCACCAGCGGGCCGAAAAACGACTTCCACTGACCACTCTCCAGTTCCTCTGGGCTAGGGCAGGTTTTTCACAGAAATTTGGGCGAAGCGGCCTCTCCGTGCAGACAGATCCTTGCACCTTCCTCAGGAAGAGGAGCCCAGCCACTGTGGTGAGCGGGCAGCGTGGCGGACAGCTGAGGCCCAGGGCCAGCCGGGGCGGCCGCAGTCACCGCCAACGGCAGGTCGTCCACGGCCTGTACCCAGGGCAGCCAGGGCTCCCCCGTGCACCCCCGCTTCTCCCGGCACGCCCGCGACAGCCGGCGCCCTGCAGAACGAAGGGCTTGGGGCGGGGCAAGGGGGCCTTTGAGGGGGCCGAGAGTCCCTCGGGCGTGAGTCCAGGTTTCCGCAGAGGCTGCAAACGCATTCTTCATGTTCCCTGACAGCTGGTTGGAGAGGAATGTGACAGCGAGGCCTCCCGGGAGACAGAGGCAGCAGGCCCCGCCCTGCCCCGGCCTGGTCCTCAGAGGACACGCAGGGGGACGCCTGGGGCTTTCAGGTCCTCAGTCGAGTCGGGGCGCCTTCTCCTGTTATTCGGGGCAGTGAGCACAGCAGCCGCCAGGTCCTGGCAGCGTGTACCCTCTTTGTACCCCTGGGACACCTGAGTTCTCGGCAACTTTGCCCAACCAGCACCGGTGTCAGGGGGCTCCAGCCCTGTGCATTGTGGGAGAACCAGGCTCTAGGCCTGCTCTGCCCCACGCCCCCCACACCCCGCAGAGGGGCCTCCGGCCAGCCTTCTGCCCTCTGTGGCCCTGGCTCCCTCACCTGTTCATCGGGGTAACCCCTCCCCCCATGTCACAGGGTTATGGCAGTGACAAATCACCTGCTCCCAGCCCTGATTACGTGTTTAGAGTTGCCCCTTCACGTACAGCGACACTCAGCTCAGACCTCACCTCTTCCAGGAAGCCTTCCTTCCTGACCCCGGTGCCCACTGTCCACACAGGGCGTGGCCTGGAGCGGGCAGGCACTCAGACCACACCTGAGGAATGAGGTGTCCCTCCCTGCGCGCTGCAGGCGGCGTGGGGCTGCATGCAGGTTCTCAATGGGCTGGGAGCCCCCCTCCCCCGAGAACTCTCTTCCCGACTCCTCTGACAAAGGGTTTCTGTCTCAGATGTCGCCTGAGAAGAGAAATGGGCCTGCGGTTTTTCAGTTGCTCAGTCTCCGGGAGTCATTCACTCAGTCCCCTCCTTTGCCCAGGGGGGACAGCCCCGCCCGACCCTGGAGGTATTCGTGGGGACCGGCAAGACACGGGGTGAAGGAGCTGGGCGGTGGTTCCCAGGCTCACGCTGGGCTCGAGTCCAGGGCAGAGCCACCAATCGCTGGACGCAGCGCCACACCCATGCCCCAGGCTGGCCAGTGCCAGCCAGCCGCCCGTGCCCCAGGCCTGGAAGCTCTCGGGGTGCATGCAAGGTGCTTGGGACAGAGGCGGGGAGGCAAGGAGGCGGGGCTAGTAAACCGAGAGACAAGACCCCGGGCCGAGAAATGAGGCAGCAGCCAGAAGGTGGGGAGAGCCCATCGGAAACCCGGCCGGGCCCCACCACGGTGGGACCGTGCCCCCCTGGCCTGGGTCCTCCCCCTGGGAGGCCACATTGGCACATGCCAAGAGCCAAACCCTACCAATGTCCCTACACCCTGCCAACGCCCAGCACACACACTGAGACATGGAAGAGGGGGGGTGACAGGCAGGACCAGCCCCCAAGGGGCAGCAGGGGCCTCCCGCTGCAGTACCGGCACAGGATTCCACAGACCAGGGCACGCGTGACCGAGCATGGTGAGCAAGCGACAGTCGCCCGGCCCCTGTGGCCTTGCCCACATTCCATTCTCAGGACGTAGGGGTGGCACTGGTGGTCACCGCTCACACCCAGAGCCGTGTTCCATGCCCCACGCTGCCCCTGAGTCACCGTGGGAAGACTGACCAGCGCCCTTGCTTTTCCGGGCCTCAGTTTCCCCTTCTACAAACACAAAGGAGTTGGCAGAGATGGGCACCAGGAGGGCCCGACACGCCAGGATCTTCTGCCCCAGTGGATGGGAAGCCAGGAAAGCACATCTCCCGGGTTGGGTCTCTGCAGAGTGTGGGTGCTGCTGGAAGAACATGCTGGTCTGCCCCGGGCCTGGCCAGCGGCTGCCCGACCCCCTGGCTTGGGTCACTGCAGGGAGGAGGACTCCACTGGGAGCCGAAGGCCCCCACACGACCGGGCGCCCACGCCAGGGAAGCCCTCGCAGGCCGAAGGTGGGGACTGGGGACGTGCTGCCACCGCCCACGCACGCCTGCTCCCCCGGCGCCGGGTTTTCCTGACCTCTCCCCCGCTGGAATGCGGGGCCCTCGGGCGAGGGCTGCTCCGCATTTCTCTGTCTCCATATCAGCACGGCCCAGCCCGGGGCCGGGGGCTCAGGAATGAGGTTCCGGTGCTGTGCATTATTACCCCAGGGCAGCCGTGTCCCAGCCCCACCTGCAGGCCCAGCACCGAGCCCCAGGCTGGCGGGAGGCAGGCTTCTGGGTGTCCCCAGGGTGCTCGCCCCCCACCCCCACCCTGCCACACACTCGCCACAACCCGCACGGGCGGGCGGCACCAACCCTGACCCTAGCCCTCCTGCCTGTCCTCACCCCCAGGTGTCTGGAGGCCCCTTGAGGGCTTGTCTAATAATGGGGGAAACTGAGGCCAGAGTGGGCAGGGGCTCCGGGGCAAGCTGCATGTTTTATGGTGGTAACAACCACACGGCATGCCCTCCCTCGGGATCCCAGCGGGGGCTAATGGAGCATTAATTGTAATTAACTGATTATTCCTGCTGCCAAGCGGCGGAGGAGGCGGCTGGGGGTGGGGGGTCCCCCAGTGACTCAGTCGTGTTTACAACACGGAAACCCATTTAAGAGCTTGTAAAGTTGCTATAAATGGCCCTTTGGCAACGGGCATAACGATTCCCTGTCTCCAGCTGCCAGTTGGAAGCGTGGTCGGGTTTGGGCTTCGGAGAGGCGGGTTCTGAGGTCCAACAGCGCCACCTGGAGGCCATGTTGTAAAACGCCCTGCTGCGGCCACCAGCAAGGATGCCGCTTCGGGGCGAGACCACAGGGCCCAGGAGACCACGGAGCCCACTCCCCTCCCCCACTCACAATGAGGAAACGGAGGCCCAGGCGAGGACAGAAACCAGCCCTTTTGTTGCTCAGCTTCTTGGAAAATGTTCAGAGTCTAAACCTAAGCCCCAAATGGCAGCTGGAAGCGTCAGGCTCCATGAGCTTGAACTCTGCAACATGGGACAGTTTGAGAGAGATACTGCGAACAGTTCCCCAGACTCAGGCGGTGCCGTTCCCCTCCGTCCTCACCTGAGGCCTCCCTCCGCCGCCATGGCCCGGGACCGCCCTCACCCTCCCCAGCCCGCCCCTCGTGCGCCCAGGGCACTAAGTCACGGGGTGGGGAGGCTCCAGCGGGCCCCACCGGCAGAGGGGCTGGGCCCGTGCCCACGCCACGACCCACACTCGGCTTTCTAAGAGACCGACCCACGGACGGGGACAGCTGGACACAGGCAAGGCCAGCCAGTTCTGGAGCGAGACCGGGGCTCAGGTCCCGACTCCCCACGTGGCCTTGCCTGCATCGCTCCACGAGGACAAAGGCGCAGGCGCTCCCAACGCGTAGGGGTAGGACCGGGGCTCACCCGGGTGGTCTCGTCTGAGTTCACGGCCGTGAGACCCAGAGATCCAGTTAACCCACCCACTTGTGTGTGTGTGGGGGGGGGCTGGAGACTGAGGCCCACGGGGGGCTGTTGGGACAGCCGGTGGCACAGCTGAGGTGGGGTCCCAGACAGGCTCTGCCACCGGGGCGCCCCTGTGCGTGGGGTCGACTGGGGGGTGTGCAGGTTCCGGCGGAGCGCTGAGGCACGGGCAGGATCAGACTCAGGAAGGGGACTCGGGGGAGCGGAGCCGGTCCAGAGAGGGTCGCCCACCCGGATGGCATGGGGGGCTGGGAGGACCAGGGGCGGCGGCAGGGCAGCCCCGGACGCCTCGGGCCACTCACCCACGGTCATGCCGTCCATGTAGCGCTTGACGATGTCGAAGGAGTCCCGCAGGTTCCCTTCCGTGATGTCGAAGATGATGTCAGCCTGGTTGGCGGGGTACGCCGGCGTGATGGCCCGGACGAAGATGATCTCTGCGACAGGGAGGCGCGGTGTTGGGGAGGGCGCAGGGGGGCCTCGCCGACCCCACGCGGCGCCCTCGGGTTCCGAGCGCCCAACACGGGGACCCGGACTCAGAACCAGGTCCACCGGCCCCGGCGTCCTCTTTGTAACAGAGCCCGGGGCCAGAGTTCACGGTGTGCACGGGGAACACTGACGAGCACCGCTTTTGAGTAACACGTGAACCCAACCACGAACCACAGCGACCCCACTCACGAGCAACACGCGAACCCCACTAGGGAGTCACTCGGGAGTGCGTAAGGTGGTCTCTGAGCGCCGGGGCCCACTGAGCAGCCAGGGCTCTGTCGTCCGGGAAGATCAGGGGCTGAAACCCCTCAGGTCCCGCCCGAACCCCGGATCCGGAGACAGATTTGAGCCCAGCCTCCTGTCCCCCCCACCCCCCACTGCAGCTGAACGCACGGATAAGAGCGCTTGGCCCTCTCAAAGCCAGTGCCATTAGTGTTTGGGCAGCGAGCCCTCACTGGGAAACAGGACCCCCTGCATGGGGAAGTGGAAGGGCCCTGAGGGGTCACAGGGCATAGCCTATCCCCTCTCCCTACCAATGGGGAAACTGAGGCCTGGAGAGATTTTTTTTGGCTCTTTCGTGAGGTCACGAGCTAACGGGCGACAGGGCCAGCACTAAGGAGCTGGTGATCAGCCGTGAATGTTTGTGAAGCTGGAAGACAGGGAAGGCGGGTGCGTGAGGGGACGACGGGAGGGAGGTCAGCAACGGCCAGGGAGCAGGCTGGCCCCTGCCCACGGCGACGTGGGTGGGCGGGCCGCTGGGTGGCCTTGTTCGTCTCCCAGACCAGCTGGCTTGGGGAGCAGGGCAGCTGCCCCGGGCTGGATGGGGCACAAGGCCCCGACTCTCCCCCGGCTCTGGGCCATCTCGAGGGCGTCCTCTCTCTGGGCCTCAGTTTCCTCATCTGTAAAGTGAAGGAGGCAGCTGGCCGATGCCCACTGAGGGTCCTTTCAGCACCAAAGGTCAAGGCCTGGACTTCCCGGGCCCCGGATGCGAACGGGTGTCCCTGGCCACGGCCAGCTCCCTGCAGGACCAGCTCCGACCAGCTCCGGGAGAGGCCCCAGGGTGGTCGCTCGCGCTCTGGGAAGGGTTTGCCTGTGGCCGGGGCAACTGGTCATCTCGCTGGAGACAGACGCCACACCAGCTGGTGTGACCTTCTCCGACCCAGGTTCGCCCTGCCCTGCGAAGGGCCTGCGCCTCCTCGGGACCAGGCCGAGGGTCGGAAGCCGGCCGCCTGCTCCTTCGGCCGCCCACACCCTCAGGGGCTTCTCCTGCCCTCACCACCCCGCACGGCCGGCCAGGCTTCCCGTCTGGCACGTGCCCCTGTCTCCCCCCAACCCCCCCCCACCCCCGGCAGGGCCTGCCACGTTAAAACGCAGGGCGCAGCCGCGCTGGCCGAACCGCCTTCCCTGGGAGGGTCCGCGGGCCCTGGCTCGCCCCTGCGTCCCAGAGGCGGCCCTGAGCCCGACGCACGGGACGCTCGGCCTGCGTTCGCAGAATGAGGAACCACGGCCGGCTCCTCCGGGGGCCGAGGACGAAGACTGCAGGGAGGCGGAGGGTGGCCGGGGACCACACCAGCGCCGGCATGGGGGCTGCACCCCCCAAAGCTAGGTGCCCAGTGCAGGACCCCAGTCACAGCCGCGGCTGGGCACCGCGGGCAGGCCGCCCCGGCCCCGCGTGGTGAACAGTGCCGAGACACAGGTCTCCGGGGCGGGCACGGGAACGCTGACCCCGGCGCTCCCGGGCTCCCTGCACCCAGCCTACCCCTCCAGCCTGTCTGTGCCTGGGCGCCCAGGGTGGCGGTGAATTCCCGTCAGGGTCACGCTCACGTCTCGTGAGGCCTCAGCGGCTCCAGCCAGAAAACCCAGGCTTCGTGCCTCAGACGCCCGCGACTCCCCACTCACCTCCAGGCCTTCCCAGACACGCCCCGCTCTGCTCGGCACCCTCCTCTCCCTGCTCCCCCCTTTCACTAGATTACCTCCTGCAGACCACGCAGGCCCCAGGGTAAAAGTCACTACCTCCTGGAGGCCCTCCCAGATTCCCCAGCACTTGGCACAGAATCAGCATTTAATGGCCCTTTGCTGAATGACTGCTACCCATAGGAGACCCTGAACTGGGGGCCGGGAGTGGGCCGCGTGGTGCCGCGCAGTCTGGGGACAGGAGGAGAGGTGGGCGTGGGGCAGAGGGCGACACTTCAAGCCCAAAACCCACATCTTTCCCAGGAGTGGCTACCTCCCAGGCAGCCTCCCTAGACAATGGCCGGGCCTCCCCTGGGACCCCCGAGCCAACGCCCGGCTGCGGGGGTCGCCGCTCACCTTCCGGGCGGGTGAACTCGCGGAAGGTGGACAGCGAGACGACGGTGTGGGAGATGGTGTGCACCGGGTCCAGCATGCAGGTGACGTCGTTAGGGCGACAGGACTTGATGCAGCGGATGGTGTCCGTCTTGTCCTGGTGGGGCCTGAGAGGGAGCAGAGCACAGGAGGGGGGTGGAGAGTCGGACCCGGCACTCCCGCACAGACGGGCCCCGGGAGGGGTGGCAGGTGGCAGCCAGGCCCACGGAAGGCTCCCTCGGAGAACCGGTGGCCTCCACAGCCCGGCGGCCCCGTGGGGCTGCCTCAGGGCCCCTCCCGCAGACTGGACCGGGACCCAAAGGCCAGAGACGCGCCCCAGCCTCCGTCAGCCTGGCCGTGGGTAAGGCAGGCTTTGCTGTTTGCCGAGGGTACGAACTGGGCTCGTGTCTACACCGGCAGGTGAGTGCACTCACTCACTCGCTCAGCACGTCCGTCTGCTCGAGTGCCTCCGGGTGCCCGCACCAGCACACCCGGGGGCCCTGCCTTCCTGGGGCCCTCCGTCGGGTGGTCGCACGGGTCATGTACAAAGTGCCCAGCGCCGTGCTTGGCACAGAGCAGTTGAGTCTGCAGGGTCACGTGCCAGGCAGGGAGGGGGAAGGAAAGGTGCAGTTTGCTACAGGTCTGTGTTCTGGGCCTCCTGCTAGACACACTTTAAATTCTTTTTATCATAAAACAAAGTACACGTGCAAATTCTGCACAAAACAAGGCTATAGCGGAGTGAGTATTATAAGGCCAATGACTTTATAATGACCCCTCCGGTCAAGAAAGAGCTTCACCAGGCACCTGAGGCCGCTTCCCAGGGCCCAGCCTGCCCCCTCTGACACCCCCTCCCAGGGGCCCCTGCTCCAAGCCTCCCGGCCATCGCCGGCCTAGGTTTCTTCATAGTTTCTATCCCACAAGTGTGCCTCTCAAGGCACAAGCATTTAGACTCGTCTGTTACAAATTTTTTGTCATGGGTTTCCTCTCCGTCCTCATTTTCCACAATCTGCCTGCTAAGGAGCAAGCATTCGAGCTGTAGCGCCCCCCACAGGTCTGGCCTTGCTGGTGCACGCACTCACTGTGCGGCGCGGCGAGGTCCCCTGTCCTGGGTGCTGCCTGCCCACTGGCAGCTGACCCAGACCCTGTCACAGGCAGGCCCTGTCCCCTAGGCCAGGTGACAGCTGGTGGCAAGTCTTCCGGGCCCCGTGGTGTCTTTCTTTCTATGCAGTCGGAGCCGAGACCCACCGATTCACCAGGGACCGCGGAACGCTGATAGGTTGACCCCATTGTTTCTGTTCCATTTATTGGTTGGGAAACTCCTGTAAATAGACGCTGCCCCTCCTACGTGATCTGGTTACCAGGGAGGATGGTTCACAGGGGAAAAGCAGGATCAGTGCTGGGTCCTTCCCTCCTACCTACCAGCTGTAAGGATAACGGGCTAGCTGTCTGTCATCACCCAGAAGCTACCAGCGGTGATTTCAGCAACAGCCGGAACTCAAGGACTTAAACTCTCGGGTGTATTTCTATCCATCGCATTCATTATCCTTTCCAGTTTATTTCTCCTCTTTGTTTCTGAAATCGTTTTATGCCTTGATATGAAATTATGTCACACTCCATCCCTCAGTTTTTTCCTAACTCTGATTTACATTTTTCTTCCATTTTTGATCATTTTTTTTCTTAGTGCTTTTTGATCAGTGACAGTGTCAATGCCGCCTGTGAGCGCACCTCTCGGGAATTCTCCCATCACCCAGAGGCGTGCCCGTCCGTTCCCTACCCTCTCCTTTCCCACAGTAACTGTAGAGGACATTTAACCTTCATAGTTTGGGGTTGAATGTTCTTATGTGAAACTAGTTTTCCTACAATTTTAGGAAGAGGTGTGGTTCATAGTAGGGATTTTTTTTTTTTGCTTGTTTTGTTTTTTAACTTCTCAGAGCTCCCACGCCTGTCATTTCTGGCAGCTTGCTTTCTGACCCGGACTTCTCTCTCTCTCCATGGTCCCTGCTGCCTCTTTCCCACTCAGTCTCCTACTTCATTCCCAGCAGTTTTTGCACAGGGTGAGACCGGGAGCTTCAGGGAACCCTGGGGGGTTCAGCTGCAAGCATTCCTGTGGGCTAGATGGCCCTTTAACCCTTCTGCGAGCCCCTGGGCACACTGGCCATGGGGGCAGGGAGCAAAGGGACTCCCAGTGTCAACTGCTGTCCCCAAACTGGTCGGTTAGACCTCGTGGGGAATACCTGTGAACTATTCAGGGTTTCCTACTCCTTCCTCCCACCTGTGTGCCAGTTCCACGCAGGTGGGTGTGAACTGTATTTTGGGGTTTGTGGGGTACCCTGTCATCTTGTTTTGTTGTAAATGCTTTCTAGGGGTTTTAAAAATTCCTTATCTAGGTGTTCTGTGCATTTTGGTTGGGACCTAGAGAGCTTCAGGCCCTCGGTGCCGTGTCCTCCCTCTTCCCAGAATCTCCGTGCCAGACGCTCGGCCCACACCGTCCCGTCTAACTGCACAGCTCTTCCCTCTACACCACACTGCCTGCTTCTTTAGCTAATAAACTGTCCCGCTCTGTCCCTGGAAATTGCAGACGGGGCTGGTACCCAGGCTTTCCGAGACGAGACTAGAGGACGACCCGACCGGCCCTGACTAGTCCCCGTAACCCCGCCTCCTTCACAGCATTTGAGGCGGCATGAGCGGGGGGCTTCCAGGCACAGACCCCCAGGGCCGGGCTGCCTGGGCTTGAATCCCAGCGCCCCCTCGCCCCCAGTGCCAGCTGGGAGGCTTTGGGCGAGTGACTTAAGCTCTCTATGCGTCCACATCTTCATGGTGAGATGGGGGTCACAACAGCCCTGTCCCTGCAAGGCTGTTGTGAGGGTTAGTCAAGCACCTGGAACAGCGCCGGGCACGCAGTGAGCAGGAAGTGTTAGCTGTCACAGTTCTTATCATCACCGTCATAATAACAATCACGATTGTGACCACGTCCCCTTGGGAGTCCGGCTTGGTACAGTGACCCGGTCAGAAGTGCACAGGCCTGGGAGGCAGAGGGGTCGGCGGCTCTGCACGCCGATGACCTTGGGTGCGTGCCGGCTCTCTGAACGTTCACTCGCATTTGAATCAAGACCCAGATGAACACTCAGGCGCCATCCATGAGTGAGGAAGCCAACAGCGCTGACTGCCTACCGGGCACCAGACAGGCCCTCGGGTGTAGTTGCAGCGACCTCCAAAACTACCCATAGGCGGGGCCCATGCGGCATCTTGCTAGGAGGTAGGGACACGATATTGACTGAGACAGACCTGGTCGCCTTTGTGGAGTTTTCTGGATGGCAGGGAAGACAGAGGAGAAAGGGCTGTTGAGAACTGTGATAATCACCACGAAGGAAGTGACAGGAGAAAGACTGACAGAAGAAATGGAAGCCCGTGGAAGGCCTCTCCGAGGAAAGAACACTTCCGCTGGAGTCGAACCTGCACTCAGGCCGAGGGTGCAGAGCACGAGCAAAGGGCCTGGGGCAGCAAAGGGCTTGTCGGTGTGGCCTGAGGGAAGTGAGCAGGTGGGGCAATGTGAGGTAAGACTGGAGATGCAGGAAGAACTAAGTGATGCAGGGCCTTGAGAGACACACTGGGGACTTGTGACACTGGTTTGGCCGCCATCGTGGTGGAGAGGGAGAGGGCCAGGTGGGTCAGAGCCCACATGGGGGGGTCGTGGCAGAGTGGGACAGTCAGAGCCGTGCCGTCCACAGACCGAGGTTTGAATACCAGCTGTGTGACCCTGGGCAAATCCCTCACCCTCTCTGGGTCTCTAGGAGGCCGACACACCTGCCTCGAGGGATTGAAGGCAATGCAAGTGCAGGGCCGGACGCCCACCCAGTGGTTCCCGCGAGCCGCACGTTCACTGCCTGCTCCCGGCTCGGGCGCGTCCTCAGCAGACGCACTGCCCTCACTTTGGCGAGAGCTGCATCCGGATGCCCCAGCATCCAAGTGCTCAGCGTTTCCCACCACGGAGTCGGGCTTCTCGTGGGGTGAATGGGACAGCAAGCTTGCATCTCACACACACACACACACACACTTCTGTTTTGCCCCCACGAAATGCTCAGCTCCAGACGATACAACAAAGAAACCAAGCTGGAGCCTGAAGCCTGGCTCTGCCGCAAACCGGCCATGGGACCTTGGCCAAGCTCCTCCCATTCTCGGGGCCTCAGTTTCCACATTTGTAAAATGAGAGGAGATGGAGCTCCCCGCTCTCCGAGGGTCCTTCTCCATCATCGCCTCGTTCTCTGGGCTCCAAACGGAGAAGAGAGAACTCATCCGACAGGGTGCACGGAGCCCCGTCCTCCCCTCGTCTGGGCTCCCGGGAGATAGGGACGGTGACTTCCGTGGACAGACACGCCCAGGTGTGCACCCCCTTATGGAAGACACCCCTCGGCCATCCCCTGGGGGCGCTGGGCAGTGGCGAGTGCTCAGCTCAGCCCGGACGAGAAGCAACACAGACTTCCAACCGCACCCAATAAAACCAAGGCACGCGAGGCATGCGGGGTGGGATCGCCTGCTCAACTTTATTGGAATCCCGGCAAGGAGGGTTAGGAAAGCGACAAGAGAGAGCCTCGCGGCCCGAAGCAAGTGCTCAGAGATCTGCGGACACAAAGATGAAAAGCTTGGCCACAAAGGAGCTGACGGTGCCGTGGCGATAGAGGTCCATCTTGACGGTCAGGAGCAGGTCCCTGGGCTCGGGGACGGGCTTGGTGAGGGCCACCACCCCACTGTGGTGGCTCACCTTCCGGGTGGTGAAAAAGCCCTCGTCATTGCCGCTGGTGATGGCCAGCTGCATGCTGTCCCCGGGGACGGAACTGGAGGGGCCCATGCGGAAAACCACCGCGGGCACTTGGATGTTGGTGGGGAAAGAGAGGTGGTAGTGGGTTATTCTCAGAGGCAGCTTGTGGCACTCCTGATTCTCATGGCAGGGCAAGCGCTCACAGCGGCTGCAAGAAAAGTGGACAGAGAGAGAAGAAGAGCGTTAGGGCCCGTTCGGCAAGCAGAGAAACAACAGAGCGCGGGGAAGCGGGGGCTGGCTGTGCAGGGCCTCCCGCCGCCCCTCTGGCCGGTTCGCTCAATGGGAGGAGCGCCCCTCACTCACCTGTGGGAG